CAGGCACCAGGCTGGAGTGCAGTGGTGCGATCTCGGCTCACTGCAATCTCCGCCTCCCGGGTTCAGGCAATTCTCCTGCCTCAGCCTCCTGAGTAGCTGGGACTACAGGCGCACACCACCATGCCCAGCTAATTTTTGTATTTTTTTAGTAGAAACAGGGTTTCACCATGTTGGCCAGGATGGTCTCCATCTCTTGACCTCATGATCCACCCACCTCAGCCTCCCAAAGTGTTGGGATCACAGGCGTGAGCCACCGCGCCCAGACACATAAAGGTTTTTAAAACATACCTATACCATCTTTAATTAAGCTGATCTATAGCTTGGATGCCCATCTTTAATTAAATTGACTTTTAATCATAGAGGTCCTTTTAACTCTTGGCTATGCATGGTGGCTCATACCTGTAATCCCAGCACTTTGGGAGGCTGAAGCAGGCAGATTGCCTGAGGTCAGGAGTTCGAGACCAGTCTGGCCAACATGATGAAACCCTGTCTCTACTAAAAATACAAAAAAAAAAAAAAAATTATCGGGGCAGGGCATGGCGTGGTGGCATGTGCCTGTAATTCCAGCTACTCAGGAGGCTGACGCAGGGGAACTGCTTCTTTTATCGTGGAAATTTTCTTTTCTTTTCTTTTCTTTTTTGAGATGGAGTTTCGCTCTTGTTACCCAGGCTGGCGTGCAATGGCGCGATCTCGGCTCACCGCAACCTCCGCCTCCTGGGCTCAGGCAATTCTCCTGCCTCAGCCTCCTGAGTAGCTGGGATTACAGGCACGTGCCACCATGCCCAGCTAATTTTTTGTATTTTTAGTAGAGACGGGGTTTCACCATGTTGACCAGGATGGTCTCGATCTCTTGACCTCGTGATCCACCCGCCGCGGCCTCCCAAAGTGCTGGGATTACAGGCTTGAGCCACCGCGCCCGGCCCTATCGTGGAAATTTTCAAATGTGCACAGAAGTAAAAAATAATAGCATGATGAACCTCCATGAGGAGGGAGGTGGAGGTTGCAGTAAACCAAGACCGCAGCATTGCGCTCCAGCCTGGGTGACAGCGCGACTTCGTCACACACACACAAAATGAAGTCCTTTCAAATCTCTTATTACCTGACCTTAGCACACCAAATGGCCAGTAATTCTAGCTTTTGAACTCACGGAGGGCCAGAGGATACAGTGATTTTTACCATGACTCTTGACATGGTAGAGGAAAGACCTGAGACGCCCCTCACCATCATGCATCCTGGGGACTCCGAGGTTCGTGAGCCTGCCCGGTGGCTATTTGAGCCTCTGCCTTTCCTTCTATTTCCTTTCCCTTTCGTGGACTTCCTCCCGGTCCCTATTGTAAATGACTGAGGTGGCCACTTTTAGGAGGTTCTCTAAAGTACCATCTGGTCCTGTCACCTGTTTCTGTAGTGTCCTCCTGATATCAGGGGCCACCTGTGTGATAAACTTATCCTTCGGGATTAGCTATCCCTCGACTGAATCAGGAGCTAGAGAGGTGTGCTCTACCAAGGCCACGCGTAGCCTTTCCAGGAGGGCAGTGGGATTCTCATCTCACCCCTGGTCGATCCTGGCTCTCTTGGAGGAATTGAGAGGCTTAGCCCTAGTTCTTCGAAAGGCCCCCAGGGTGCATGCTGAAAGTGTTTCCTCCTCCATTCTCCCAGTACATCATCAGGGTCCCATGTAGGGTCCTCCAACGGTACTGCAATTTTTCCGATCATATAAGTCGCATTCCCTTCCCTGGTCCCATATAAGATACAAAGCTCGTCCCACAAATTCTCCGCCACTTGCAGGGTGGCCTTCTTTTCAGTGGTCGTCAGGAATTGATTCAAAAGTAACATGACATCCTTCCAAAAGAACTCAAATACTTTGGTTAAGTTCTGGAAAGCTTCTATATAGCTATTAGGGCTTTTTTTCCAAGCAAACCTGCGAAGATCCCCCTTAATTTGCCTTCAGTCTTGTAGCGAAAAGGGGACCCAGACCTTAATGGGGGCATGTTCACCAGGCACCTGTTGTAGGGGCAGCTGAGACTGGGACCTGCCTAAAATGAGGATTCCTAGGCTGGGGCAAGCTTGAGAGAGAACCTGGATAGGGAGGAGCAGAGGGGGTTGATTCCCCTGCTGGAGGTGCTCCTGGGGTTTGCTTCCCTGGAATTGCCCCTTGCAGCCTCTCCTGAGATGGCCGGTAGGAGGGCTGAATCAACCCTACAGCATCGGCAAAGGTCTGGGTTACCCTGCAAGGCAAAGAAGGCCCGCACGTATGGGACCAGGGACCATCTGCCCTGTGTTTACAGAACAGCTTCCTCAGGCCACACTTCTGTTCTGTGCCTCAGGGTGCTTGGCACCAAGTTTTCAACCAAGGAAATGACAAGAACATTTTTGCCACAAATTTATATACGGATACCAAGGCACACTTGGCTTCTGTGCTACTCTTAACCTTCCATTTCAGACTTTTGATGATTAAACCAAATGCTCATTCAATCCAGTAACATATCTGGTTTGCAACAACAGCCTTAACATTTTTTTGTTTTTATGATGGAGTCCTGCTCTGTCACCCAGGCTGGAGTGCAATGGGGCAAGCTCAGCTCACTGTAGCCTTCTCCTCCCAGTGATTCTCTCGTCTCAGCCTCCTGAGTAGCTAGGATTACAGACCAACACCACCACCACACCTGGCTAATTTTTTTGTATTTTTAGTAGAGATGAGGTTTTGCCATATAGGTCAGGCTGGTCTCGAACTCCTGACCTCAGTGATCCGCCAGCCTCGGCCTCCCAAAGGGCTGGCACAGGCGTGAGCCACCACACCTGGCAACAGCCTTAACATTTAACATTGTACATAAAAAAGAAACAGGAACCTTGACATCCCAAAAGAAAGAACAATAGGAAAGACCAGAAGTCCCAGTGCTGACACAGTAACAGGTGGTCAGGGACTGGAGTTAGTCCAGTGGGCTTTGAATAAGGCCAACAGTAGCCTTGGCCAGTTACCCTCAGTTGCCTCAGGACCTCCTTCTGGTCCCACACAATGGCTAGACCTCTGTGAAAAAAAACTGGGTTCAAACAAACCCAACATCCCCAACATCCAAGGGTAAAGGGGTTTGACAGTATCCTCCCCAGCAAGCCTGTCCTCCATGCCCTAAGTCTGGCAGCCATGCTGGTTGCTTTTAACTGGCTGACAGAGGCCTGGTACTTTTCTTTCATTTTGACTACTGTGGCGTTAAGAGACTCTGAAAAAAAGGACAGAAAGAGTAACTCTGTTTTTACTCACCCTTCCGCAGATCCTGGACGAGCCCCTAAAAATGTTATAGGATCCTTGTTGTTTTTCTGGCCAGAAACCTCCGTAGCTGGTGGTGCCTTTTGCCTGAGTTTTGCTTGGACCCACTGGGCTCATTTTGCCCATTTGGCCTGGCAGGCTATGCCCGGCTCACATTACCAGCCTTGATCCTATGCCTGCCAAGGGCAAGCCAGGCACGGAGCGGTGAGGGGTGTGTGAGTGAATGAGCACAGGGTCTGACCACAGTGCACAGTCAGGCGCTGGCTGCGGCAGCAGGGCAGGCAGCCCCGGGTCCCAGCATGGGCACTGACTCTCTGTGAGGCTGCAGCTGGACCAGGTGCAATGCAAGCAGCTTCCATGGCTAAACCGGGGGACGCTGTGACGCCTAGAAGCTTGGAGACTCCAGGAGCTGCAGGGTCCCAAAGAGGGAGTTATAGCCCTGGCTCGGGGAGCTCCCAGGTCTGGGCTCTCTGAAGGTCTGCACTCTTCTCTCCTTCTCTTCACCCCCAGTGTTGCAAACAAGCATGTTTCAGCTCTGTTTGGGTTCTAGCTCTTTCAGACCTGCCATTGGTCCCACGTTCTTGTCCCACATCCAGGGAGAATGAGGTACATGGACAAGCGGAGGGTGAGCAAGGTGAAGAGGAGCTTTAGTGAGTGACAGAATAGCTCGGAGGAGGCCCTGGAGTGCGAAGCTCCTCTCTGCAGGCCCGTCATCCCACCGTTCTCTGAGGCTCTCAGCAGAGAGGCAACCCTGGATTGGGAAGCTCCGCTCCGCAGCTAGTTGTCCTGATGTCTGCTCAGCTCTGGCTGAACCTGGGCTTTTATGGGCCTCAGAGGAGAGCAAGTGTACACTGATTGGTCCATGGGCAGCCATGGGCAGGTCTGGAAAAGGCTTCACAAGTTCCCACTCTGGTCTATGGGACTGGCAGCCTGGCCCCTAGCCTTCAGACCCTCCCTAGCCTGAAGGTAGGGCCTCACCAGTGACCCACCCTCTTCTGCCCAGAAACCCATCTGCCTCCTGCTGCCATTCATGGTGGCCAAGCTGTAGGTGCCAAGGGGCACCTGCAGGCCAGCACTGAGCTGCCCTCTGCCCCCCGTTGTCTTCTCTCTTATGCTTGTCAGTGCCCAAAGTTTGGAGCTGGCTGAGGCAGCAGGAGGTGGGCGTGTCAGCATTGCACCGAGTGTGTGCACAGCTGCCAGGCCTTGCCAGTGTCTGGGCTCAGCCCCAACTTTGCTCCAAGCTCGAAGTGGGCACCAACAGCGGAGGGAGCCTTCTAGAGCAGGAGGAGCCTTCCCGGGCCCCCAGGAGTACGAGGATGCCTAGGTCCACAGCAGTGGTTTGGGTGACTGCAGCTGCACCTGGAATTGCGGGGGAGTTCCCGCCTGCTCCATGGAACAGGAGGCCCGGTCTGCAGCTGCAATGTGGGTAGTTGTGGCTGACCCAGGGAGCTCCTGCCCCTGCCCCCAACTCAGAAGGAGCAGGGCTTCCACTTGTCTTAGGCTGGGCCAGCTCCATGGCGTGTGCAGTCCCAGCTGTGCCTCCCTGCTGTAGCCAGTGTGATGGCAGCGGCTGCTCCAGACAGCCCACTGCTGCCATCGCTACAGCTGATAAAAACTGCTTGCACTCTCAGGCTGCAACGTAAGCCAGCAACTTCCCAGAGCAGAGAGATGGGAGTCAAACATGCCACCACACAAGGAGCAACATTTTGCAGAGCTGGACACTGGAGCACAGTGCATCCTTCTAACTTCTTGGCATTGCATGGGTCCCTGCAGTGGTGAAGAGGGCCGGCAATACCTGAATCAGATGAGCAGCACTTTCTGGGCCACCATATTGAAGGTCATGTCCTTTAGTGGCTAATGCACAATCATTCTCTTCCAGCTGACCATGTCGATCAGCCACACCACCATCTAGCACACTGAAGAACATCTCAGGCTCACCCGCCTTGCACACCAACTTTATTCCAGGCTGTTCCTTGGTGCTAGTTTTGTTGAGACTCACATGGAAGCTGTCATCCCAGGGTCCATGGGCATCCAGCGCCCGTCCATTGTTCCTGCTGTGGAATTTCTGCGTGCGTGGCATGGTCAGTCACGGCACCTGGTAGGGCTGCTGCGGGAGATGCAGGGCGGAGGTGTGAGGGACGTCGCTGATGTCCGTCCCGCTGGCGTTTAGGATGATGTCTCCCGGCAGTAGCTGGCCGTCTCTGGCAATCACCCCATCATGATAAATGTGTTGGATAATGATACGGTCCAGTGGGGTTTCCCCGCCTCCCACCAGCGGAATGGAGAGGCTTTTATTGGGATCCCCTTGATTGATCTTGATGGTGGTAATTTCTTCATCTGGGATCAGGTGGTACAACCTTGAAAGACTTCAGGGGCCGTGATGTTTTCAGAATTTTCCTTGCCCTGGTCAGCTCGGTTGATAACCGCACTCCCACTCTTTGTCCTTCGAAGAACACTCAAAATTCAATTATTTTTTAAAAAGACCTGCTTCTAATTGTCACTGATGACCCTTACTGCTGGACAGCTTCCTCCAGGGTTGTACCAGTTGCTGGATTGCTTGAAGGACCATGCTTTCATTGGGTTGCTCTGGCCAGAGTCCCCGGGGCTGATTGCTGGCTGACTGTCCTCCGCCAGGCACATGGTCAGGGTTGTCTAGGCCAGGCTTGTCTGTCATTAAGGAGACGGTGACAGCTGCAGAAACCTCTGGGGAGGATGCCGTGGCTGTGAGGCCCACACGGTCGTCTCGTCCGCCATCTCGGGAGCACCTCTTCTTGTCTTTCGTCAGGCCAGGATGGGAGGCCGTTTTACGGAGTCAGTGTTCCCGATGATGTACAGCATCGAGGCGACACAGAGAGAAGTGATCGTTTTCAACAGGGGAAGTCAGAGTGGCTGCAGGGGTAGAGAGAAGAGGAAGTATTTGTGAGATTAGAGAGAAAGAGTGGACATCACGTGGTCAGGGACCGGCTGAACAGCCGAGGGGACTGGCAGGCCCGGCAACGTGGCCTACCAGCCCCCTCTGAGGTCACAAGGTGGGAGTGGAGGAGGGTGAGGTGGAGAGGCAGATGGCAGGTCCTGCTCTGGATGCAGGGAATCTGAGAGCCCTAGGTGTGGCCAGGAGGGACATCTAGTGGAGGTTGGCTGGCCAGGGCTGACTTCAGAAAAGAGGGTCCCATGATGGGAGGCACTGACAGCTGTGACCGAAGCTCAGGGAATGAGTCAGATCTCCTGTGGCTGTGGGAGGCAAGAAGGAGAGGGCCCCCAGAGAGTCGCTGGCGATGGGCAAGAGGCTTTGACGGGCCCTGGCAGAAATGCACCCAGGAAGGGGCGAGGCCCCAGGGACAGAGAGGAAGGTCTCATTGCCCAGAGTGGCCAGTGTTAAGTGCTGCGCATCGGTCAGGGAAGTGGCTGACCATACGTGTGTGGGACCTACCCATGATGCGACTGGTGGGGTCCTGGGGAGGACAGTGGCACACTGCTGAGTGACCCTCCACAGAGAGAATCCCAAAGAGAGACCTAAAGGGCACACACCAAAACAGCCCACCTCGGGCAAGACCACCATATGGGGGCAGATCAGATAGTGGGGACCTGGAGACGAGGCCCAAGGAGCCCGGGGGGCCTAGCCATGGTGTTTCTTGACCCAGGTGCAGGAGGCACAGGTGTATCCAGTGTGAGGACATCCTGTGTTCCATGATCTCCAAGGAGAAAAAAGAAATAAAAGATTTTTTGAAAAAGGACTGCTTTGTCCTCCGTACGCATGTTTGACTTTAATAAAAACGTACTTTAAAAAACAGTCCACTCTGGGGCCAAGTGCAGTTGGTGCATACCTATAATCCCAGCACTTTGGGAGGCTGAGGTGGGAGGATTGCTTGAGCCTGGGGAGATGGAGGCTGCAGTGAGCCATGATTGCACCACTGCACTTTCGCCTGGGCAATATAGAGCGAGATCCTGTCTTTTAAAGAAAGAAAAGCCAACTTCAGAGGCACCCAGTGGCCTCTAGACAAGCTCCACACCCTGGGCAGCCCCTTCCTGCCCTGCCCCCACCTCCCACCCCAGCCTCCTCTACGCCTCCACTCCTTCTGCCTGGGACATCTTCCTCAGCCCAGGCCTGTCCACGTGGCAGGCTCCTACACACCCCCCGGAGCCCTTCCAGGCCTAACCCAAGCAGAGGGAGGCCCAGGCCTTAGCGTCATCTGACTCTAAGGAATTGTGAGGGTGAAGATAGATCCCTCCTGCTTCACTACGCGCCCTGCCTCCCCTCCACTCTGGCCCCAAAAGGGGAGACGCCTGCGTCTGAGCTCACTGCGGAGGTTTGTCATGTTTTGGCCACACGTCAGGCTGAAAGACGTGGGAAGAGCAGGGGCTGGAAGTTTTTGAAGACCATGATCTCTAGGGAACGGAGTTGCCGCTTGGCTCACGCCTCCAGGTCCTCCAGGTCTCAGCGTCACTGTCATTTCCTCTGGGAGCCCCTCTGGCTGTCACCAGACCAGGCTGCTGACTCCACAGGAACCAACAGGGATCTGGAAGCTGGGGTCAGGCCCTGCTCCTCCACTCTCTGCTGCCGTCAAGCCTCAGAAAGTTCTGTCACCTCTCTGGGCTGTTTTCTCATCCAGTAAATGTGCCTTCCTATCAGGTTATGACGGGAATTAAAGTCACTGAAATCCCATCTTCCACACAGAACTGGGATCTGAGCACCTCTCCCCTTCTCCTCTGGCCCAAGCCACCTTCCCACTCCCTGGACCATCACCATCACGGATCTCCCTGCTTCCTCCTTGCACACAGCAGCTGGAGGGATCAGATCACATCCCTCCTCGGCTCAGAGCCCACCAGCGACTTCCCATGTCCTCTGGAGCAAAGCCCTGGTCCCCGCAGTCTCCCAAAGGCCTTACCCAGATGGTGTCCTGTTGCCTCTCACTCTCACTCCACAGTAGCCATAGCCAGCACCTTGCTGTTCTTGGAATGTGCCTGGCCCACCGCTGCCTCAGGACCTTTGCACATGCTCTTCCCTCTGCCTGGAACACAGTTCCCCCAGATGTCTGGGGGCTGCACTCCCTCCACATCTTTGCTCAGATGTCACCTTCATGAGCTTTTCCACGACCACCTACTCAAAGTGCAGCCACCATTGCCCTTCCTCGGCTTTGATTCCCTCTGTGACTCTTACTGCACCTGCCACCAAGGATTTCACTTAGTTGTTCATCATCTGCTCCTTTCCACTAGAACAACAGCTTCTCATGGCAAAGATTTGGACTTTTTTCCCACTGGCACATCCCCAGCACACGGAACAGAGCTTGGCATACAGTAGGGACTCGATGAGGGCCCTGGCTGGGTTTATTCCAACGGCTGAGGGCCTGTGCCGTACCAGTTACTAAGGATCCGAAAATCACTTCTAGTCGGGAACCTCTATGTGGATCCAGGCAGCCTTAGGTTTGCAGAGCTGAGAGGATTTAGCACATTTGGGGATCAAAGGCAGAGAGGGATCCCTTGCCTCTAAAACAGTGGTCCCCAACATTTTTGGCACCAGAAACTGGTTTCGTGGAAGACAATTTTTCCACAGACCGGGAGTGGGAGGGGGATGGTTTGGGATGAAACCGTCCCACCTCAGACCATCAGGCATGAGATTCTCATGTGGGGTGTGCAGCCCACAATAGGGTTCACACTCTTTTGCGAATCTAGTGCCACCGCTGATCTGACCGGAGGCGGAGCTCAGGCAGCAACGCTCCCCTGCCCACTGCTCACTTTCTGCTGTGCAGCCAGTCCCTAACAGGCCATGGGGGTTGCCTGCCCTAAAATATCTTCTTATTTGGTTGCTACGAGGCTCCAGACTGAAGTGCAATGGCCCGATCTTGGCTCACTGCACCATCTGCCTCCTGGGTTCAAGCGATTTTCCTGCCTCAGCCTCTCTAATGGCTGGGATGACAGGTGCGTGCCACCATACCCAGCTAATTTGTAGTTTCAGTAGAGATGGGGTTTCATCGTGTTTGGCAGGCTGGTCTCGAGCGCCTGACCTCAGGGGATCCTCCCACCTCAGCCTCCCAAAGTGCTGGGATTAACAGACACGAGCCACTGTGCCTGGCTGCTTCTCCTTTCAAATGAAAATATTCCGATGCCACTGCTCTCTGGCAGCTTGACAGGGTGATTCTGCGGATCTGGGCTGGGCCTGGCTGGGCAGCTGTGGCCTCCAACAGGATCACGTGCTTGTCTGCCATTAGCGGAGGTCAGCGGCCTCTGGCTCCCCTCGGAGCCTGGTCCTCCAGCAGGCTAGCCCGGGCACATTCTCATGCCAATCACAGGGTTCAGGGGTGTGGGAAGGGTTTGGGGGAGGGGGAGAGAAAGAAGCTGAAAAGCCTCCTGAGGACTAGGCTTGGAATTAACACACAGTCATTTCTGGCACCTTCTATGGGCCATAGAAAAGGGCTGAGTCGGACGGAGGGGAAAGAGATTCTACCTTTCAGTGGGAGGAATTATAAAGTCACACTTACTGTGAGTGGTTCAAGGTCAGAGATAAGCAGATCTCCCACGTTTGTGTCTTTCCACACGGCAGGCTGTTTTTGTTGCTGCTTCAGTCATAAAAGCCACCAGCTCCATGGAGTTCCCAAGGAGTAGGAGACAATTTTTAGGACTTGGCATCCACACAGGCTCAAGCCACTCCACAGATCAGTCCGTTCTGCAAGCCATACGTAGGGTCCTTATCAATATATAAACATTATAGATTGAAAGTTACACATCAAACAAAGTAACAGTACGAGAAAAGGTATAGGAGAAGGGTTAACAAGCCAGTCCAGGGACAGCGATGGGAACAAAAAGAATATTCTGGCCTGGCTTGGGCAGCCCAGCACTGTCACAGTTTTGCAAAGAGTCTTTGATGTGGACAGAGTCTTCAGTGGCAGATGCGAGGTGCTTACCAAGACGGTTGTTTTGAGCGGTGGAAGTCTGGCTCTTTTTATGGCCACAGGGTCCTCTGGCGAGGACAGACAGTGGAAGGGTGTGTTTGGTTATGTCTTTATCTGGCCGGATGCAGTCTTTATTGATCAGGCAAAACATCTGCTCCCTGTTGGCAAAGGGCCTTACGAAATGTAAGATGCAGACTTCTTCTATGATGGAATTATGTCAAGGATACTCTATAGGACATTCAAAGGAAATGGAGACAGGTTGGGGATGGAAAATTGGGGCCATTTTGGGGTCTGAATCTTTAACACTACCGCCATTGTTTCTTTTGAATTGAGGATGAGTAAGACAGCAGTGGACTAAGAATCTGTCTCTAGGTTCATTTCCCATCTCTTGGAGCTTTGAGGTGCCACGTCAGAAGCCTAGCTACTGGGCTAAGAAGGTCATGCAGAGGGGCCCCAAGGAGCCCAGTCTTTCAGCTACCACCTAAGGTCTCAGGGACTCTCTAGACACACACCAGTGGCTAGCTAAGTACCCCTGAATGACCCCCAACCACAGCCATGTGGAACCAAAAGATCTCCTGATGGAGGCTCGCCTGCCCAAATTCAGATCTAATCAAATGGTGCTATTTCAATCCACTGCATTTTGGGATACAATAAATCACTGGAGCTGCGTATTGAGCCAGGCTTGTCTCACGCCAAGATCTGCCGCCATGAAAGGACCCGACTCCCAGAAGATGACAGGCTTGGTTTGACAGCAAGGAAGACGCCCCTAAAAGAAGTTTGGCATAGCCTCACCATTTGAAAATGAGAAAAGACAGTCACTCTGCGAGCTCATGACAATGCCAGGACCTCTGTGGCCTGTCTTGGGCTGGCGCATCACTGCTCGACGCTCTGGGCATGCACACCTGAG